AAAAAACAATATAAATTACGCTCAACGCCCCAAATGTTACAGAAACAAATAGTCTCATTCTTAAAAAATATGTTTTTTTTTTTTTTTTTAAAAAAAGAAATTTAGCAGCTGTTATTGCTGATTACAAAATTTTATGCAGTTTTTCACGGAACTTTTGTATTAAAAATATTTCAATATTTTGCTTAAAGTATAGATTGAGGTTATGTTTTGTATTAGGATAAAAATTATCTTTGTTTATAAAAGATATTCCGTAGGGTTCATTTTAAATAAGAATAACAGAAGAAGTCTACTTTTTTGTACTACTAACATACCAGATTTCCTGCTTATGTTAACCCTTGGTGAGGCCTTCTCCCTTCTAGGAGGTGTTGGTCAAACCAGTTAACCACAACAACTAAAGCAGGCGGTGTTTCAACAACAACAATTTAGTTTCACAAGTTGAAGGAAATAAAATAATGATTGCTTTTGTGTGAAGATGAAGATATTCTTTTCTAGTTTTTATCCAGAACGTATATATATTCAATTGAATTGTGATTTTAAATCCTAGATCTGAAAAATAGATAAACAAGGTTTACTGTTTTCAATAACTGGATCCACAAATTTCCTTAATGTACACCTTCTTCTGGAAGAACCACTTTGCGGTATTGGTCCTCGTTAAACAGTTCTACCGTAAAGTGCTCGGCTTCGCGCACTGGTCGTCGGGCTACCGAAGCGGAGGAGTCATCCCCTTTGCAGAGGATCAAAGTTGTGATGGCATGTCTTCGGATCATATCAGGGATGTTTCCCAGACCGTCACCAATAGCCCATTGTGCAGCTCTAATGCTATGTAAATAAAATACCTACCTTTTTTCTGGAAGGTAATATTGATCAAAAGTCAAAGGTAGTTCTTAAGTGCTCCAAAAATAAGCTTGTATAGTTTGTCTACGCTAAGAACTCCCCCCGCCACAAAGTCTGAGGCCATTTGTGGTAATGGGCTCATTTCAAAGAGGATAGCTTCTCTTCAATCAAGGGCTAACACAATAGATCGAAGATTCATTTTCTATCGCCGATCAGAGCCAAAGCTTGCCCTAAACAGTGATCCCACACCCTTACTTGAAATAGTTATACCTCGTTACCGCCGCAGGTCCAGACGAATGGCTAGGGGAGTTCTTACTTTAGAAAGAGTCTTTAGAATTTATAAAATTCGAGAAAATATTTCTAAGTCGCCTTCTTTTATACATTTGTACCGAAGCTTTGCTTTTTTCTCGAAGGCATCGATGTTGTGTTGAAAACAGTATTATTTTTCCTTTGAAGGCTTAGATTTAGTTAATTTAGAAGTGAAAATGTGTCTGATGGGTAAGAAAAGTTAGCTACTCATTCCTTTTTACATATTCAGTAGCTTAGGGGTGCAAAACCTGCGGCCCGCAGGAACTTCTGAACGCAATAAAAAAATTTTATTTTAATTTGGTTTTTTTAAACACTATAAATTTTCTTTAATTAAAATATTTAATTCAAATTTATATTACTCTATAAAATGCATATATTTCTTGCACTTTCATTCAGTAAGCTTCTTTTTGGCAATAAATTAATGATTGAGAAAAATGGAAAAAGTTTTTTTTTTTTTTTTTAAAAAAAAGAAGTATAAGTTATAAAATAATTCAAATAATTAATTTTCTGCAACTATGTTAAGTTTACTGACTAAAATATTTAGTGGCTAGAACAATAATGTTTAGATAAAAATAATCATATTTGCCGCTAACATGACTAAATATGTGTGCGGCCCTTCGTTAATCTACCTACTGTGCAAGTGGCCCATCACTTAAAAAGCTTGTGATCCGTGAGTAGTGTCTGAAGAATGGCGGTCAGTATCAGGAAGAAGAAAAAAAATTTCCGGTCTTTACCAGGTTAATTTTAATAAAAATCTATACCAAGCCATTTTTCATCAGAAATTTTTGATTTTTTTTTTCATTTGTAATATCAAATATTAGATTTTGTGAGCAAAAACATATTATCGAATGAAAATGGAGAAGCTTCGCCAAGAGATACGATTTTATAAAATAATTGTAATTGATGTTAAAATTATTTAACCCTTCGACTACGACGAATTTTAAAAAAAGATTTTTTTTTTTGCCCGTTTATTATTCAAAAGGACAAATTAGGTCACAAATAAGGAAAATTTAGTATTTGGGATTTTTCTGACAAGCAGTTATCAATTTAGAGGCTGGGACATATAGGTCCCGGCTGCACTTAATGATGGGATACATATGTCTCACCTATAGAGATCGACTTACTACACGCACATCTATCATTCCGGAAAAATTTATTATGTGGACTTTTTTTGCGTGGTATGATACAGGGTGAAGCATTCTTTGCATAACCTGACATTACACATTGAACAACTCATACTTGTTCTTTTTTCTACGTTCATTTGAGAAAATACGAATGAACCTAACAATCCCAATGAAGAATACGAGTGGGATATATGTGTCCCAGAGCAAAATCACAATGCTATTTCATCCAAGAAACTCTTTAGCGCCATCTAGGAGATATTTGACACACGAAACACGTATACTTGGTTTGATTCTACGACTGGGACATATTACAATGAGTTTCCTGACAATTCCAGGTTTTCAGTGTTCTCCCTGACTTGTGGGAACTCTGGGCGGTTTGAGAAAAAATAGTTTAAACTTCCTAATCAGGCACCTTTCGCATTTTGAACTTTTTTATAGACAAGGTATCTGCTACATTTTAGATTTTCAAATTCATGACTTTCCATGACTAATTCCAAGAATTTTTCATGACTTACAAAAGTTACTATTTTCTCCGACAAAAACATAACAATAAATTTGAAAAAGCATTCTAATAACATTGACTGAAATGATAGGTATAACCAAAACTGTTATACTCTGCATCTTCATATTTTTAAATTTAGAAAACAGAGTAAAGAAAGAGTTGAAGCAATAAAATAGCTGCAAAAAATGCCGAAGCAAAAAAATGTTCTTTTTTTTCTGCAAAAATTATATTCTAAAGATACTTTTCTCGTTCATCGGAAAGGAAAGAAATACTCATTATTTTTCTGTTCTCATTTCGGAACAAAAGAAAATTTTGTCAATGACTGGCTTGCTTCAGATAGAATTTTAAATTGATAAAATAAATAAATAAAAAAAATTCAGAAATCACAGAAGTTTAAAAGATAATTCGCTGATGATGTTTTTTCTTTCCTTTTTTTTTGGAAGGAGCACCATCATTTTTAAAGAAAATGATAAAAAACATTTTATATTTCAATAAAAATATGACTGTGAGTGAGGATTTTGTTACAAATTCATCATGAAATTGGGGAGGTGGGGTGTAAATTCCATTTTAAAAATTAGATTTTTCGACGACCTAAATCCATGATTTTTTTCAAAAAAATTTTTTCTTTAAAATCATGGCAAATTTTTTTCAACAACGAAATTCATGACTTTCCAGCAGAGTTTGATGTTTTAAATCAGCTTGATTTAAATCAAAAAAAATTTTTCTTTTAAAAAATCATTGATTTAAAAAGTTAATAAGTGTTTTAAATTATTGATACTTTTTTTATTTCTTTTCTTATGAAAATTTATTTTAAATAATTTTAAAATTTATTTTAAATAAATTGCTGCATTAGGTTTAAAATTTATTATCGTTGCATTAATTAATTTTAGCTAACGAAATTACTTTCTTCCTTGGTATGTGTTAAATGCCAATACATTTGAAATTAAATTTTTAAAAATCTTTTGATTTTTGAGATTGAAAGTACAGAATAAAGTAAACATTTAAGTATTTTTTTCTCATAAGCTTACAGTATCTTTGACATCACCAGATTTTTTAGAAAGAAATTTTGTGAAATTTTTTTTAAAAGAGTACATAGATTTTTTTTCTTCTTTAGCTTAACTTATCTATTATGATATAGGATTAAAAATAAATATTTTAACATAAAAATATATAGATTAAATATTTATATATTTTTTGATGAATGACTAAATTTATAAACACAATCTGTTACATTTATTTTGTCATTTTAAAAATCAGTAAAAAAAAAAAAGAAATCATAATTATGATTTGGTAATTGAAAATTTGTCTTAATAGTTAAAGTATTCTTTAAATTCTCATAATCATCTAGTCTTTAAATTTCAATCATGCATTTGTTTCAAAATGGTTGCTATGTATTATAATGAAAAATTGTTTTAGGTAGTTAGAGCTTTTAAAATATTCTTATAATATAGTTTTAATATTAATTTAATTTTGATTAAACATCTATAAAGTTTTTTTAGTCACAAATCAAAGTTCTTACAGTGTATTTGAATAAAAATTCGATATAAATTAAAAAAAATCTGATTTTTTAAAAAATCAAGAACTTTGCATTTCTAGGTGCGCAGATACCCTATATCAGGGATGGCGAACCTTTATACACCAATGTGCCATTTTTTCTAAAAAATTGTTTAATGATGTCATAGACGTGCCGTTAAATAATTTTGACTTCGCGATTATTGGGAAAATAATAATACTAAATACTATCAACTCAAAACTATTTACATTAAAAAAAAAAAAAAACATTTTGCAATGTCTCAGTTATAGGCGTAATTCAACTTAAAGTAACATCAGTGTGACTTCTGTTGCTGCAGATTGGATGACAAATAACTTATATTAGGCTGTAAGATGTTAGTTTAAGCAAGACTGTTAATTTTTTTTGCTAGTTGCTTATTGTTAACTTGTTTTTTATGGCTATTAATTGTTAATTTTTTTTATTAATAGTTGTTTATTATTTTGTTTGTTTTTGTGAATTTTAATTTAACTGTTACATATGCTTCATAATGTAATAACATTTGTGTAATAACAATTCAAAGTGCAATAACAATTGCGATCGGTGGGTTGCCCAAAATACCAAAATATTGTGTCACGTGCCATTGGTTCGCCATCCCTGCCCAACATAAACCTAAATAATTTAACTGAAATTTAAAAACAAACAGCTTGTTATGCAATTCCAAATCAAAACAAATAACACATAAGATAGATTATTTACTGTTTCAAAGCAACATTTACAACAAGAGGAGGAAAAAAATACAAGTTCATAAACATAAATGGCTCAAACTGTAAATTATACGCATATTTCATAACAGTATACAAATCAATGTTTAAAAAATATATTTTCTTTCTTTTCTTTTTTTTTAGTAGTGGCTACAACAACTATTCAAGATGGGAACACAAGTCAGGATTACATTATTCAATAAAATAATAAAAAAAAGAAAAATGCACATAACCATAACATAGTTTTCACATTTAAGAGAATAGTTTCTTCTACAGTTTTACATTTAAAGCGATGCAATGTACAAAAAATAGAGTCTTTTATATAATTTTTCTATGACGTTAGAGATAATTTAAAACACAGCAACGAACATAGCTCCAAAACTAAAGTTGTGTGATTTTTCATTGCAAAAACAAAAAATTCTAAATAAACTACAAATGTGAGTAACAACATGGTGCATTTGTGACGAATGCACAGATTGCATGTATTTCATATACTAGTAACTATGAGTTTCTTTCTTTTTTGTCTTTTTTTCTTAAAAAAAGAAAAAGAAAGAAAGGAAGAAAATTAACAAGGCCCAGATTTTTTAATGCTTATGTAATTATCATTTTTGCTCATCTTATATTTGAAGAAAACCCCGTGGCAGAAACGTGGCGACATTGTAGAATGTTACAGAGTTCTCGACGAAAGATTTTTCCTTTGGGAAGTGAAAAATTTGGACTTTCCTTTCTGCAGAAATTTTCAAAAGATTTAAACTTTTCTTCAGAATTTTATTCAAAAGATTGCTTTCTCGCACTTCACAAAAACATGCTTGTAATTTTTCTATTATCATTTGAGGAGAATGAAGTTTAAAAAAAAATATATTTTTCTCCCCCCGCAGAATTTTTTTTTGGCAGCTATTGATTTCCACACAGTTTTTAAAATCCGATATTTTAATCTGACACTATTTATTACAACAGCTGAATCTTGAAATGAAAACAAGTATTTGCAACTCCCTTTTTAAATAGTTCGATTTGCGTTATTTCGACATTGATATATTTTTTCTAGGTACTTACTGCTATGGGATTTCACTACTTTTAATTTTGTTTTTAAATTTAATGATGACTTACAAAAAACAAAAATAATAATTAGTATGTTTCCCCCCTCCAAATTACTAGATTATTGCTCATAATATTAGAATAAAAAAAATGACATTATTTTTTCCAAAAAGTTTTTTTTCCTCTTGAAGTTGATGTTCTGTTACTTTAAGTTAGTAATATGTATATTTGTTATTACTAAAAGTATCTTGTAGAAAGTTATTAGTTTGTCACAGAAAGCCTGAAAAAATTCTGCCACAGGGGAAAAAGCATTCTTGAAGTTTTTACTTTTAAATGGGATGTATTTGAAGACAAGTTCATTATTACAATTTCTTAAAACTTAACCTTTAAGAACCATATATATATATATTTATCATACTTGAAAATTCCAATTTTATCAACACTTTGCAGTGTGCCTTGCTAATTGAAAATATCTTCAGTATTCTAATACATTTTATGTATTAAAATCAGTTCATATGCCGGTCAGAAAAAGGTGCTAAGAATTAGACTGAATTCAACCCAGGCTTTCAGCAATAAACCTTTCATAAGGCTATTCAAAATAAGCCTTACTTATCAGAATTAATTGCAAACTGTCTTGAAATAAATCAGGCCGGCACAACAATAAATATACATATTTTCTAACTAATTTAGCCTAAAGCAGGGATGATTGTGAGCCCAACTCAAAAATCCTGAAAATTTCTTGAGTCATTAATGACGCATTTCAAAAAATTAATGTCTTTATATATTTAAATCATTGATATTATCAAAACATGAACTTTCAAATAAATTATATGCAGCGTAATTAAAATGATTAATTATGTATACGTTTACCTTTATCTATAATCACATTTATTATTCTACCAGAAAAAATATTTTCAAATAAAAGAGATGCCAAGTACAAATTCTAGTACAAGAATTTTTATACATAAACAGGGTTGCCACTCAATCTTGAAAAAAAATTCCATGTGTTTTCCTTGTACATATTATGCACAATATATTAAGAGAAAACAATAATATGAGCTCTTGCGTGAGCTATTGTTGGGCTAACTATAATTATTCATTTTAATTGCTGGAAAAACAGCTGAACATACTTAATGCTATAGTAAATGAAATAGTTTAGTATACCTGAAATATCATGGTTAAATATACCATAGATTACGCTTTGAGTGGTCACCATTTTTTAAAAGACAAAAATAAGAAACAAAATTCCCTGTATTTTCCTAGTTTGTAAATAAAAAATCAAAATTCCCTGTTATTTTAGGTGATTTTCAAATTCCCTGTATTTTCCAGGTTTTCCCTGTGCAGCAGCAACCCTGGCACTCTTGTGTGAGCTACGTTGTACTAACTATACTAAATTTAATTACCCAAGAAACTCAGAGGAAAAAGGTACAGCTTAACATATTTAACACAAATAAAGCTATAGTAAATTAAATAGTTTTGCATAGGCTGAAATATCATCCTTTATGAAATAAATTGCGCTGAGTGGTCACCACTTTTTTCGAAAGACAAGAAACAAAATTCCCTGTGTTTTCCCAGTTTGAAAAGAAAAACTAAAAATTCCCTGTTATTTTAGGTGATTTTTAAATTCCCTGCATTTCCCGGGTTTTCCCTGCGGACTGGAAACCCTGATAAATGCAATCAACGATTTCTCGAAACTTCCTGATCGGGGATTGCGAAAAATCCGGCTTTTTCCCGGAGCTCAATCATCTCTGCTAAAGGTGTGTAGGCTGACTACAATATGCTTATTTAGGCTGATTAGAAAAATACTGTAGACTTTTCTAACTAACTCGGCACACTGCTAAGCTGTGTTGCAAAAAGAATGTGTTATTTCCTATGACATACACAGTTGAAATTTTAAGAGTTATATATTTCTTTTTCCAATACTGTTATCACCATGTCTGGGTCCTGAAAATCACAATTTTAATAAAACTGAACATAACTCTAGCCACTGAAGACCAATGCTTTCTAAGCATTGCTCAAGCAAGAGCTTTCTACTGTCTCTCTCGCAACCCTTTTCTTTTATTATTACAGAACATATTGCTAATCATCTGGTTTAAGCTCTTTTATTTGTTTGATTAAATAGGCTTTCTCATCGTTAAACTGTTCGTCGTCGGAGCGATCCGTGTGAAAGTTCGATAAAAAGTCTACTAATTTATCCTTATTTCTCAGCAGAATGTCTAAGACGGGCTTCGGCTTGTTGGGATTGGCCACGAATACCTGCAAGAGAGAAAAATATTGTTTATAATTCTAGAAAAATATTTCTAATTAAGCAACATATAAAAAAATTTGTTAAAGTTAATTTCTACTTAGGTCAACATTTACATTTCAGATTTTCAAATTCATGACTTTTCATGATTTTCCATGACTAATTAGAAGAATTTTTCATGACTTAACGAGGTTACTATTTTCTCCAACAAAAACACAACAATAAATTTAAAAAAAGCATTATAATAACATTATTCGAAATGATAGGTATAACCAAAACTGCTATACTCTGCATCTTCATATTTACAGATTTTAAATTTAAAAAACAGAGTAAAGAAAGAGTTGAAACAATACCTGCAAGAGAGAAAAATATTGTTTATAATTCTAAGAAAATATTTCTAATTAAGTAACATATAAAAAAAATTTTTAAAGTCAATTCTACTTAGGTCAACAAAGACAGGGTATCTGCTACATTTTAGATTTTCAAATTCATGACTTTTCATGATTTTCCATGACTAATACCTAAATTGACTAATTCCTTCCTTGAGTCAAAATCAGAAGGGTGAAATGATAGGCAAAGCATGGGAAGGTGATTAAAGGAAATATGGGAGCTTAAATTATAAATTTAAGGGTGGAATTTTATCCAGCAAACTTCAACTTTCGAATCTATGAATTATCCAATCATTCAAGGAATGTTACATTCAGGGTAACTGCTACATTTTAGATTTTCAAATTCATGACTAATTCCAAGAATTTTTCACGACTTAACGAAGTTACTATTTTCTCTGACAAAAACGCAACAATAAATTTTAAAAACCATTATAATAACAATATTCGAACTGACAGGTATAACCAAAACTGCTATACTCTGCATCTTCATATTTATAGATTTTAAATTTAAAAAACAGAGTAAAGAAAGAGTTGAAACAATAATATAGCTGAAAAAAAAATACAAAAGCAAATAATTCTTTTTCTGCAGAATTATATTCTGAAGATTTTCTTGTTCATCAGAAAAGAAAGAAATGCTCCTGATTTTTCTGTTCTCATTTTGGAATAAAAAAAATTTGCCAATGACTGGTTTGCTTCAACTAGAATTTTAAATTTATAAAATTTAAAAAAAAAAAAATATAATTCTTAAATCACAGAAGAGAGAGTTTAAATGATAATTCGCCCTAGAAATGATGTTTTTCTTTAATTTTTTGAAAGAACATAATTTTTAAAGAACATGATGAAATCATTTCATATTCTAATAAAATATGACTGAGTGGTGATTTTGTTAGAAATTCAGATATTTGGCACAGGATGGAACGTGGAGGGGGGGGGATTCCATTTTAAAGATTAGATTTTTCGGAGACCTAAATGCATGACTTTCCGTGATTTTTTAAAAAAAAAAAAATAGTAAAAATCATGACATTTCATGACAAATTTTGTTCGATACTGAAATTCATTACTTTCCAGGTGAGCGGATACCCTGCAAAGATGATTTTTACTTTAGGTACTTTTTACTAAATAATTACACTTGCATACATGCCAACATTGGAGAAATAAAATAACGAAGATATTACCAACCGACCCAATTTCGAGTTTATGACTACTGATGTTCAACTCAGTAGCCTAGTCAGTTTTAACCCAATCCAGAAGACAAGGAAACTCCTGGATCAAGTATCGGGAGAAATTAGTCTTTGCGAAGAACTTTTTTGATGGAAATAACCGGCATTTTAGTTACATTTTAGTTAGGAAAGGGAGACAACGAAAACCTCCAACGGTTAGCCCCACAACAAGGGGACTTAAACCCGTTATCAGTGTACCACTGAGGATATTTCACGTCATCACTGTAGTCGATACAAGCTGGATGCGAAATTCGTATCGACCAGTCATCGTTGGGATTCGAACATGTGTTCATCTCACTGGAAGGTGAATGCTCAATTCTCTGAGCCATCTTGGCTAGACTAATTAAAACTCAAAAAACTGCAGCACTGGCAAAAGCACCATCTGGTGAGGAATAAGAGAAGTATTTTTTTGCCATTAAGGGGTCACAGTACCCAAAAAATGACAAAAATACCAAAATTTTTTTTATTGCTTATAATAAAACTTCAAAGTATTTCAAATGTACAGAAAGAAATTCATCTCTCTATCTACATTTTTAAAAAAGTTATTTTAAATTGTTCTTATACAGAAACTTGCTCAGCAGTCTGACTTTAAAGTGCTTTTTCGCATAGATGATAATTTTGNCAGTTTAATCATTTTTTGAAGATAAATTACTGATTATAAGTTAAATGAGCATGTAAAGCATCCTCAAAATGAATGATTATACCTTTATTTTAAAAAATTGTTGCAAAGGTACTGTGACCCCTTAATGGATATTTTATCACAATTTTGGGTTTTTTTTACTTTCTTCAACAAATACGGAAAAAATTTGAGAATATACAGGTAAACAGGAGATAGTGGTAGATTGCAGGAATCTTGGTTAGAAAACAGGAGACTCGGCAGGTATGCACCTGATGAATGAATTGATATTTGAAAAAAACTGTATTAACATCAAGTGTCATCCACTACGAGTTCAAAAAAATGTATCTGAACTTGAGTGGATGAAAAAAAGTATTTTATGAACAATTGAACATTTGAACTAGATAATAGGGAGAGTGTGAATTAATAGTAGGAACGTGGTATCAGACAACTATAAAAGTATACATTTGGAGATGTTAACCACACGTGCTAACATTGAATTTATCTGACAGAGCGAATATGAAACACTTAAATGTGCACAATAAACAATTTTTTTCGTTCAATAAGTTAAAAAATTATTACTGATGTTATCTTTAAAATTGAGCAAAAACTGAATCGCTTACAGTAAAATTTAAAACAATGACCAACGGAAATTCCATTTCGTTTTTCGCTCATCCCTATGTAATAAATGAATTATTTATTTGACAAAACTGTATTTGAACTTGAATGTATGAGTAAAAAGTATTGAAAATTTGAACAACATATAGGGAGAACTTAGAGTAGGAATTGAAAAAAAAAGTTCAAAAATATTTATAATAACTAACATTAGGAATAAGGGAGATCTTAATAGCATGAAAGAGATTGCAACCCCTACAACATGTTATAATGTTTAAAAACAAACCAAAAAAACTATATAAAATAAAGCATTTTCAAAACATAATGCAATAATTTTAACAAATTTGAACATAATTAACCCAAAAACTCAATTAAAGCATATTTTAACTATGCATAATTTTAAAAAAAACTGAGGTGTTAACCAATCCTCAAATCATAAATAATTTTGAAAACTACAGAAGTTAATTAAATTAAATAAAGATAAAGGTGTGAGAAATCACAAAATATTCACAAGGTATGAATTATTTTGTCAAACTGAAAAGTTATTAAAACAAGTACCTAAAATTTTCATTGGAACACAGAAAAATAGATTTTGGTTGCCTTTCTAAGTTTAACTATTCAAAATACTATTATTTATTCGAATTATTAAAAAATTATTCAACGTTAAGTTTAACTATTCAAATTATTATTGTTAACTATTCCAATCATAGTTGGTAAGGTTTAGAACAGAATGGATTAATCCACGGTTTAAACCGCCCTGTCCAAAATCCATCCACTCAAATTATGTCACAATTTTTTAAAAAAAATAAAATGTTAATATTTGAACAAGAAGCAAAATGAAGACAATATTTTGTTTTATTAAAAAAGTTGATTATTATTTTTAATATTGCATTATTTATCCTTACGCAGAAACATAATTTATCAGTACTAAAAGCATATTTAGTCATATTTTAGGGATGAGGTATTCACTTTTGTTGTTCTGTATATTAACATTAAAAAAGTGCTATTCGAAATAAAGTCGGTGATCCATAAAACGATCCTTTGAACAAAAGACATTTTAAGAGTACACAAAACAAGTTAATCTGAATCCCTTCCTACTTTGTTAAATTAAAATTTATGCTTTTTTTCAACAAAAAAAAATTTCCATTTTTAGAAATTAAATTTATGCAATCATAAGACTCTAAAAAATTCTTTTTTTAAAAAAAAATTGCAAATGAAGACAAAAAGGATAAAAGGAAAAAAAAGAGAAAAACGAAGAAAATTAGGTGAGTTTTATTTACTGTGTATAAGCTGCAAGTATATAGAATTCATAAAATAAGTTAATAATATAGGGAAAACATGGAAAATAATAAAGATTAATGAAAAGAGAAGAAAAAAAAATTTAAAAAATATTTAAAAAGAAATTAAAAAGCTGTAAAACATCATAATGAAAAGATATAATCTCTTCGTCTGTAATAAAGCATAATATCTTTACATTCAAAATAAAACATTAAAAAAAAAAAAAAAAAAAAAAAAAGAAGAAAAAAACATTCTTTAAACAACACTCTTGAAAGATTCTAATACTTGTAAGTTCATTTAAATTCACTACTCACTTTATAGATTTTGTTCTGTATCTTCTGTTTTTTTGCTTGATATGTTTTATTTCGTTCAGATTTTTTTTTTTTACTTAATGCAATCTACTTTTGCTTTAAATTTTTTTGAGTCTTCCTCACACGATTGCATTGATATATCATATTTTGCTTTGGCTATATTGATACAATGTTAGAAAGCACTTCTTTTCGCAGATATAATCGTTTGAGCTGATGAAGAGATTATATCATTTCTTTGTTGTACAACTTTTTAATTTGTTTAAAAAAATATTTTATTTCAATAATTCTTTTTGTTCTCTTTTCATTAATCTTTATTATTATCCACATTTTCTCAATATTTTTTAACTATATATATATATAAAAAATGTATCNACAGTACAGAACCCGTTATCCGTAAATCAGAAAACAGGAACGAAATTCGATAAATTTTCCCGCCATTTAAAAAAGATTTTTTTTTTCCTCGTAAGATTCTAGGATTTTTCTATTTTTTTTTTAAAGATGTTTACCTTCTTACACTTCTTTAAAAATACATTCTTTCCTATTTCTCTAGAAATAACTAGAGAAACATTTTATAACCTCAGAGGCATTTATATTATGTGATTTTTCATACTTCTCAATTAAAAGTTTAAAGTTTTTAGAGGTTTGAAGGACCAACTATAAATTACAAGCAGAAATTAGAGTTTTTGAACACCCTATGCCAAAAATGTAGGAATAAGTCTGTAACTTGTAACAATTATTTTAGTATCATAGCTGCCAACATGGATAGGAATATATCCCGTAGATTTTACAAAATAATAAAAATTTCATGGTAATTGTTACCTAATGAGCTAAATATTTTATACAAAGGGAAATTTAGGGATTTTTATAGTCATCAAAATAGAAAAAACTGCACTATTTTCCAGTTATGATTGACATTAAACATACTTGAAATGTTATTTATTATGTTTACTCATAATTTTGAATATTAATAGGCATTTAATTCATCACAGAAAATTTAAAAAATTGTTTTAATTAATTTAAAAAGAGAGTTCTGAATAAAAATAAACTGAACATTTTAGAGCAAAAAAAAGTTTTGAACTTATTTCTATACATGAGGCTCGCTTCATTAGACATTAGTAATACTTATTTAAATATTCAAGCAATAATCTACAAAAATTCTATTTCAATAGGGATTTTTTTTTAGGAAAATTACTAAATTTTAGGGAATTTTCTAAAATGTTCAAAAGCCAGGAGCATTTTAATTAAACCAGTAGACCAGGAGAAACTAGCAAAATCCAGTATTCTACTAGAAAATCCATTAGAGTTGGCAGCTATGTTGTATTTTTAAGCGATAATTGCACAAATCAAATAAATTTTATAACTATTATAATAAGAAAAAAATATAAACAACTTTAAAATATTGTAAATTTTTTAAATCAATGAATTTCTTTTTTAAAAAAGAATCAGTTACAGTACACTCTCGATTATCCGTGCGCGGATTATACGGTTTGCGGTTTATCCGTGCTCCTTTCGGAGTCACAAAATTTTTTTTAAAGAGAAACATTTTCAAGATTATCATGCATGTAAAATATATGTTGATATGAATAGAAATCTTGTCAAATCAGTCTCGCCATTTATTAACAGAATATGAATCTAATGTTTTTATTGATAATAATCGCTGCAATGAAGTTATAACACTTTTTGAAATCAATATTCATTATTGGATGCAGTATATGGAATATCATGGTCAAAGTCTACGTTATCACGATCGTGGAGAAAGATCGCTTGATGAACAATCTTCTTCAGATATTGAAGAATATGATAACAGTATTTTTGAACAAGGAAAAGAAATCGAAGGTTTCTTGATAAGGAAAATTCGTTTCAAAGTGATGTATGTGAGCTTGACTTCCAGTATTTAACAGATGAGTAAATTGTTACTAACTGTGTTGTTAAATCAAATAGTGATAATGCAGAAGATGTAATAAATGAGGGAAATACAATTCCTGACTCTGCTGCTCTACAATCTGTGGAAACTTATTAGATTGATTATATGGGAGAACGAGGATTTGATTATGGTGACATTACTATGGTACGTAAAATATGTGTCAATATACGGCAAGAGATGAACAAACAGCAGAAGCAAAGACGCATTACACATTTTTTTAAGCAGTAAATGTTAAATTCCTAGTTTGATGTTATACAGCATGCAAATGTAAGTAATTTTTATATTTTTTGCACTGATGTTNTAAAGAGAAACATTTTCAAGATTATGATGCATGTAAAATATATCTTGTCAAATCAGTCTCGCCATTTATTAACAGAATATGAATCTAATGTTTGTATTGATAATAATCGCAGCAATAGTGATTCATGAAGTTATAACACTACCAAATTTTTGAAATCAATATTCATTATTGGATGCAGTATATGGAATATCATGGTCAAAGGTAAAATCGTTATCACGATCGTGGAGAAAGATCGCTTGATGAACAATCTTCTTCAGATATTGAAGAATATGATAACAGTATTTCGGAACAAGGAAAAGAAATCGAAGGTTTCTTGATGAGGAAAATTCGTTTCAAAGTGAAGTATGTGAGCTTCACTTCCAGTATTTAACAGATGAGTAAATTGTTACTAACTGTGTTGTTAAATCAAACAGTGATGATGCAGAAGATGTAATAAATGAGGGAAATACAATTCCTGACTCTGTTGCTCTACAATCTGTGGAAACTTTATTAGATTGATTATGTGGGAGAACGAGGATTTGATTATGGTGACATTACTATGGTACGTAAAATATGTGTCAATATGCGGCAAGAGATGAACAAACAGCAGAAGCAAAGACGCATTACACATTTTTTTAAGCAGTAAATGTTAACTTCCTAGTTTGATGTTATACAGCATGCAAATGTATGTAATTTTTATAATTTTTGCACTGATGTTCATTTTTTCTTTAATAAAAAGGAGTTTTCGGATTATCCGTGTTTTTTGACTGTCTGCGTGACCCGCCCTGGTGATCAACCCGGATAATCGGGAATGCACTGTATTTAAACAGCGATTAACAAACCACAATTTTTCGATGAAAAAAAAATCAACACAGTAAAACAGAAGAGACATAAAATGGTTGACTCACCTTAAAGACGTGGAAAGCTTCAAATTGTATATTCCTACTCCTTTCTTTTAACATATTCATCATGAGTTTTAAATTATCAGGGGAGCTAATATATCGAGTCATAATCGTAAAATTATGCCTGTCTAACAACAACTCTCCTAGAAGCTGAAAAATACATCAATGCATTATTACTCTTTCTATAACACAAAAAAATTTATAACTGCCAACACGGATAAGATAAAATTCAGCAGGATTTACAAAAAATATATAAATTTCATGATAATTGTTGCAAAATATTTTACACAAAGGGAATTTTATAGTATATTTTCCAATTATGATTTTACATTAATTATCTTGAAATGTTATGCAGGGGTCTGTCCAGACATTTTGCGAAAGGTGCGATTTTTTAATTTGTGCGTTCTCGTAATTTGTGAATATAAAATAAACGTTAAGTCTCATTCTTTCAACCAGGGTCCTGCTTTTGTGAATTTGTTCAAATAGGGTCCTGTTACTGCAAAAACCTTTTTCAATGAGTTTTTAAACTGTAAAGGCATACAAGATTTTGTTCAACACTGTAAAATTATAATTTAAAAAAAATAAATTTTAGAAAATGAACAGCAATTGCTGCTAATAAATTAGAGATGCAACATACAAATATTTGGTATTTAGCCTATACTGCTGAACGCAGAATATTCATTTTGGATGAATAAATGAAGAATCCTCAGCCGAAGGCAACGTTTACATCCATCTTTCTTGTTTTCTGCCCTGGGAAGGGTTTATTCGACTTACAGAACAATAATGAAGATAAACAAATTTGTGAAGGGTTCGATTAAAAGATAAATTATTTTGTGAAGAGTCCGTTTTTAATGTAAAATATTTTGTGAAGGGTCCGTTTTTATGAAATAATAGTTTGTGAGGGGTCTGTTAACGGACCCAAATTTCTTCTTAACAGACCCCTGTTATGTATTATTATTATTCATAATTTTGAATAGATATAGGCATTTAATTAATCAGATAATTAACTGAATTTTGTAAATGAGGCCTGCTTTATTATGTATTAGTGACACTTTCACTCAATTTTAAGGAATTGTCTAAAACGTACGAAAACCAGAAGAATTTTTATGAAACCAGTAGACCAAGAGAAACTGGTCAAATCAAGTAGTCTACAAAATCCACAACACTGCCAACAGTAATAATTCTGTAGTGNAAAAAAAAAATATTTTTGTAAGACTGAAAAATTGTTCCTATCAAGTAATAGTGATGCAGAAAAATTAAGGACTTTTAGAAACCTTGTACCAAAATTAAGTACAGGGTATCTGCTACACTTTAGATTTTCAAATTCATGACTTTTCATGACTAATTCCAAGAACTTTTCATGACTTAATGAAGCTACTATTTTCTCCGACAAAAACAGAATAATAAATTTAAAAAGCATTATAATAACATTAATTAAAATGATATGTATAACCAAAACTGTTATCCTCTACATCTTCATATTTATTGATTTTAAATTTAAAAAACAGAGTAAAAAAATAGTTGAAGCAATAAAATAGCTGAGCAAATATTTTTTTCTTCCTTTTTTTCTGCAGAATTATATTCTAAAGATACTTCTCTTGTTCATCAGAAAGGAAAGAAATACTCCTGATTTTTCTGTTCTCATTTCGGAATTAAAAAAATTTGCCAATGACTGGCTTGCTTCAGCTAGAATTTTAAGTTGATAAAATAATAAAAAGATGAATAATAATAATTCTGAAATCCCATAAGTTTAAAAATTCATAGATTCGGAACATCAAGAAATGGGGGGATTCCATTTTAATTCCATATTTTTCAGCAACCTAAATCCATGACTTTCCATGATTTGTATTAAAAAATAGTTAAATTCATGACAGATTTTGTTAAATACCGAAATTCACGACCTTCCATGATTTTTCATGACTTTCCAGGTGCGCGGATATCCTGTTAATACACAAATTCTTAAAATTAAGAAACAAACTCAAATTATCTCTTTTTAAAAAAGAAAATCAGAAGAGAAAAATTGTGCAATATCGTAAATTGAGCTTAACTTGATCAAGATAACTAACTATAGCTTGATACATTTTTAAAGAAAATCTGAACTGAGCTCTGTTTCATTAAAATATGCTCGTTGCATTACAATATCATGTACACATTTAGATTTCTGTAAAAATCATAATTTGGTGAGAAATAAAACTTACTTTGAGAGATTGCCTTTTGGTGACATAGTTTTCTGAATTCAGTAAGTGCTGATAGTGGCTGAAAACTCTGTCATAATTCATTTCAAGGAACTCAGAACACAAGACTTTATGTCTTGTTAACAACTCCTACAAAAATAGATTTACATTTCAATTAATTAACAACACAATTTTAAACAGAATATTTTTTTTCTTCAAAAAATATATAATATAAATTTTTAAAAAAACTGTGATTTCAATACTGCAATCACTAGTTTCCCAATGGTGACCCATTTGGTCTGATAAAGACACTGGCATACCTGCCAACATTGGAGAAATGAAATAACGGAGATTATTACTAGTGACATTTTTTGGGCTATTAGCAAGTTTTGATACATCATGCATAATCATGTAAGTCAAAAAGAGAAATTCAAAATTGAAATAATATAAGCACATACATAGTACTTCAAAAAAATAAAATAATTAGGCATGGTAGGCAAATTTTGACAGTTGACGGTTTTAACCGTCATGTCAAAAAAAGCAACCTTTTGACATAGTTTTTGAAAATTGTCAAAACCCCAAAATTTTGGCTTAAGGAAAATTATTAACTATTATAAATATGAAGCGATTTTAAAATACATAAAATTAAAAGTGTTCCATCAATTATGTTCTTGAATTATCTTAACATAAAACTCTTATTGTTTTGAAAAATACTGTTAAAAACCCAAATTTTGGTCTAGAAAATATTAAATTATTATAAATAAAAATGTGTCAAGTTGCAATTTATCCAATCCCTCTATTTGTTTTAATACTGAAAATAAAAACACAGAAACAATTATCTTATAAGAAAACACTTCAAAACCCTCTTATGCCTTTATACATAAAATCAGTTTTTATTTACTTCCATTTTTAACTCCTCTTTTCCCCAAAGAAAGTATTTAAAAATAAAAAAATTATTTTTTGAAGTCCCCTCTACTCCAAGTTCATTTTTTAGTTTTATATAAATAAGACTGAAATTTGAGAATGTTCATACAATGTAAACAATGTCTTTTTGCATAATTCGTGGTGAAAATCAACATGGAAAAGAAAAAAAGATCTCGTTTTACAAAAGGGAAAATTAATTTTAAAAATAGCCAATGAAAAAAACACCTTTAAGGGCTTCTAAAAAACGAAATTAGAAAATACACATCCTGCCCTCTTTTATGTTTTAAAAGGAAAAAAAATTATGGCAGAACTGCTGAAGAGGAGATACCAAGCAACAGAACCAAATAATTAAACAGAGCAAATGGGGTTCTACTTTCCAACATTAAAAGCAAGTTCACCGACAAGAACAGAGCCTTGTGTTAACTAAGGGTCAAGTAATGTGTTATGATTTTCTCAAAGAATGAAGAACAAAATTAGATAAAAATTAAATGTGCTAGAAATCATAAAGCAAAACAGTGTCATTAAGAGGATTAAGGGCAACATTCTTGATTTTTTTAAAAAAAGAAATAAATAGAAACCATAAATTTGATTTAATTCAGTTATTTTTTATAGATGCTTTAAACAATTACAACTTACTACGAGTTAAATTTTATTAATATAAATATTATAAGAATATTTTTAAAATAAATCCCAATACATTTGAGATTATATCACTGCTTCAAAAAATCATTTTACAGTAATATAAATTACATGCAAATACAAGACTCAAAATTATTGAAAAGGGAATGGAAATAAATAACTATTAAGTATGAAAACTTGCATCTTAACTCCAAGATGAAAAAATCCTTCTGATTCAGAATACAAATTAATTTCAGAACAAATTGATTCAAAAGTGCAAAAATTTTTAGTAGACGGGTTCACTTAAAATTTCAGCACCATAGGCTTTAGGTATCCTACGACGACAGGTTGTACACAATACTGGTGACTGGCAGTAAAACTTAGTAATGAGTATCGTTTCAGAAGCAATTGCAAATAAATACTTGTCATTATTAAAATTCCACTCGGTACTTTGGAATTATCCTGTCGACTATTCTCGTACTTTGGGAACACGATTGTCGAACATTTTTGTAAAATCCATGATGGCTCAGGGAATAGAGCGTTCCCCTTTTAATGAGGTGAGCCAGGTTCAAATCCCAGCGATGGCTGGTTCACACAAATTTCACATTCGGCTTACACCACCCACAGTGGTGATGTAAAATATCCTCAGAGGGTAGATGGATTATAGGTTAGAGTTCGCTTGCCGTCAGGCTTACTGTGGGAGCTTTTTTTTTATCATCTAACCCAAACGCGGGTTAGTTCCATCAAAAAGTTCTCCATGAAGGCAAATTTCTCCCAATACCTGATCCAGTAGTTCCCTTGCCTTTTGGATTGAGCTCAAACTTACAAGGCTACTGAGTTGAACATTAGTAGTTGTAAACTTGAAAATTGGTTCGGCTGTTCAACAACAGTTAAACAAAGATAAGATTAAAAAAATAAAAAGAAACAGTTGTCATCGCCATAAGATAGGTTCTGCGAAATAACTGCATATTTCATATTTACTGTGTAATCCTTGACTATGCTAATAAGTTTTCTTTAGTGTGTTGAAATATACTGTTTTGTTTTACTCTGTTACAAAATGATTTGAATTACAAATGATTGCCTAGCACTGAAGAGAGTGCAGTGGTATATTTTCAAGAGTATGGAATAATTTCTTCATTCATTGTTTGCGCTTTAAAAGCTATCAAGGATTTTTGGCTGCGAAATGATTTATAATAAGATATATGGTTAGGTTCAAGAATAATTCAATGTGTAATTATCAAAAAAAAATGAAGTTTATAGAAATGAAGTTTTTACTTTGTTTTGATTCTTTTCATTACACTTTTTTATTACGCATTGTTACATTTAAATTTTTTGTTTTTATTCTTTTATTATTAATTGATAAATATAATCTGTTTAGAATGTTTATTTTGGAAATTGCTATTCATTATGATGGTGCCAAAGAATCTTCGCAAACATTGACAGGATAATCCCAAAATATCCTCCAACCCTTATACCAACATAATTTTGTTACTGGTTGTGGAATGATATTACAAGAGGAAAATTTACATTTCATGATACTTTCATTTAATAATAACTGTTTTCTTAACATGGCACGAGTTACGAGAAACAAATTACTGAAACTGAACATACCTTAAATGTTGAAAAGGCATCGGACGCAATATCAAATGTAGATACCTCGACATATCTAAAGAAATTGTAAAATTCATCTGAATAAAGTATGATTTTCGCTAATGCTTCGTAATGAATACACTCTCTAAGCATGGTGCCACAATTCAATGCGATATCCTGTTTCTCATAGCTGCAAAATAAAATATTTAAATTAGAAACATCAAATTAAAAATTAATACGCAAGTTTCTTTCTTTTTTTTTTTAAATAAAAAAAAGAGAGAGATTAACCTGCTTATTAGTATTTTTGTAGCTTTTCTGACATTCTTTTCATTTTATTTTATTGTCTGTGAGAAGTAACTTTTTCTAAACCAGAAGGTACAAGAAAAAGGGGTCATCCACCAACTAGGTGGCTGGACCCAGTTGAGAGGTACCTAAAGGTAATAGGAATAACTAACTGAAAGACCATAGCCGAGAATAGATCAAAATGGCAAAAACTTACTGGGGCGGCCTTGGCCTGTCATAGGCTGCAGTGCCCAAGAAGAAGTCTGTGAGAAAATTCTTCCTTAATTCAAAATCAGAAGGACATGATAGGCAAAGCATGGGAAGACGATTAAAGGAAATATGAGAGCTTAAGTTATAAATTTAAGGGTGGACTTTTATACAGCAAACTTCAACTTACAAATCTATGGATTATCCAATCATTTAAGGAATGTTACATTAAACAACTGGTTATAGTTTCTTTTTCCTGTTTCTAGTGACTTGCAAGATTGTTCTGCAAACTCTGAATTTGATTTCTACAGCATTGGACAGCATCGACTAAAATGCATTTCAAAAGGGTTTAATAGAGTTCCCTAGGGATAATTGCTTATCAGTATTCACAGAGAACACCGGCCCTTCGGAATAAAATTGCGAGTCAGAAGATCTCCCAAAGTCAATGATGTGCATATCAATTGCAACACACATTACTTTTCAATAGTTGATTTAATGCCTGCTTCCTATGATAGTGGTGTAAACAATGATGAAGAGTGAAGAATATCGGAGGATATACTCACAACTGATTTAATTACTGAAATGCGGGATTCGAAATTTCCATGACCACATTAAAAATTAACTGTAATTTTAAAATAGCAACAAGAAATGAAAAGAAACACCATTTATCTTACGAACGATCTTTTAAATGAAAGCATAAAATCTATGAAACATTTGTGAATGTAAACAAACCATTAAGCAAATTTGCAAACAATAGTAAGTATTCAGAAAGGGATATTGTTGTTTCTAAAAAAATTTAAAAAAACACACGCAAAGATCAGACATTTTTTCTAGTAGTTCCACTCATGTCAATTTTGGAAAAATGAACATATTTAATATATAATTTATTCAGCATACGCAACATACATCTCTTTGTTTTTTATTCCAAATCAACTAAAATGTTATTTATGAGTGCCACTTTTAAAAAAATTCAAGACTGAACTTATTTTTTGACAAATTAACACGGTTTAGCATTGTTCAACAGAATTTTCAGAAATTTTTCCATGGGAATGGGTCATATATTATATCAATGACTTATTTTTTTCTTCTTAATTGCTTAGTTTATTTTTTCTGCAAACAAAAGAATGCTATATTGTATCTTTTTTAACACTAGTTGCTGAATAATAAACCACTAATTTTTCCCTGGAGCCATTCATATCACTATACAGTCGGACATCCATTTATTAAATCTCTGAATTTTGCGATTTTTCTCGAGAGGAACTAAGAACATTTTGAAAATTTCTTTGTAAAATAACTTTCAAATTGCAAAGTAAATTTTCTATTTAGCAAACTTTTCTTTGAGATCCACTTTCCTTATTTCTTATAATATTTCAGAACATTTCAAGTTTGTTAAAGCATTTTATGGGGGAAATTGATTTTCACAGTCAATTAACTTTTAGAGAAAGCAGTAAAATCTCTTCCTCTTTTGTCAGCTTTTCAAACGAAAAACTCAGACAAAATTAACGAATTTCATCAGTAGTAATTAAACTTAAGAGCACATGTGGTAATGCACGCTTAAAATTACTTTTATAATAAATGCAGATATAATTTTATACATAAAGTTAGCTTTTTTTAATTTGAAAATGTATGTAGAATGATACTGTAGCACTGGATAATGTTTTGCTCTATTCTTGCTCCCCATGCAGATTTCTTTCATGGTTAAGACTTATAAAATGAATAGTAGATACAAGTTTACAAGATAAAGGTATATTAATTGCTATTTTATTTGTCTAGTGCTTATGGACTTAAAACCTGTTTTGTGTTGCTTGAGTACTTCAAAAGGTGATTTTCTATTTAACAAATTTTCCATGCATCGAACTTGTTATCAGGATTCAGTGACATCGGTAAATAGTACTGTATATTTTACACTTTAACACCATTATCCTAGCTCTCTATTTTTTTAAAAAATAATAATAATCACTACTTGAGTATTTCATTTTGATTCACACAACATTTCTAAACATCAAGAGGATAAAAAACTAACTCAAACAGATTCAGATTCAACATGAGAAGTTTTAACACTTCAATTTTTTCATTGCAGTGTGACAGCCTCATTTGAAAATTTTGCAATAATTACAAAAAATAATGTTTTCATTAAAAAGTAATCATTTTTGTTAAAATTATTTTTAACCAAAAATATTAATATTTTAAGGAAAAAGGAATTTTTGTTGAAAAATTTAAAAAAAAAACAAATTGGAAAGAGAGAATTTAGCTCAAAGATTTTGAAACTGATTTTCTTTCTTGATATCAAAGTTGAAAACAAAACAGCAAAGTGTTTTCTAAGAAGTTATCATTTTCTTATAATACGGACATAATTTATGGAAAATAAAAAGCGACCTATTCTAAAATTGTCCTTATTTAAAACTGTTCTATTTTACAAAATGTAATCAATATTCAATTATAAGTATCAATAATATTCATATAAATGTCAAAACAATTGTAATAACAATTATACTGATTAATAATAATTAATATTGATTACCCCTTCATTAATGTAAATAAGATTTCAGGCTTTGTGCAAATATACTCAACAGTTGGTAATCTGGTTCCTATTTGCCTTCGTAGAATATTGCTAAATATTTGTACAACATCTTTTTTACCCTAAAAAAACATAGAAAAGCAATATTATTTATTTATTTAAAAAATATACTGTACATCCAGTGCATAAATTTACTTTTCACTGGAAAATAACTTATCACATGAAGAAAAACCTACTCAAACTAGTAGTCAATTTTTATATTTCTTTCTTTTTAATTTTATTCTCATTTCATGAAATTTTAATACTTACATATTAAAATACAAAAAAAAAACAAAAACATTAAAATTATAAGTCATATTATTCAAAAAAACAAATAAAAAACAGCTACATTTCATAGTAAAGATTGTTAAATAACTGACTTAAGATTGTTAGACACAGATTACTTTGACGCAGAGCTTTCTAGAATAGTAAAAAATAATTAAAATAGCTTCAGGAATATTATGATAATATTTTGAAATTATTTTTTTCATTATCTGTGAGAACATAGAAATTAAACATTACAAATGAGCTTTGATATAAAAGTAGATACTAAACTTATTCTTTATTTGCTGTATTATCTAGAGTATAAGTCTTGCAAACTCTTTAAAAATAAATTGCACGCAAAATTTATAAATCGTAATCATAAAGCAAATAAACTTGAACCGTAAAACACAATTTTTAAATTATGTGAATATGAAAAGCAACATATAACTTTTAAATCACATAATTCTGAAAATAGCCATTTCATATAAAAACCAGCGAATACGAATCACGATATTAGATTTTTATAAATGCCTGCATGCAAACCAGGTTATTAGATTTTTAAATCCTATGTTTAATAATAACGTCAGGGATCTGTCTAGGTTTTTCTGAGAGGTACCTATTTAAAAATTATATTAAAAAATCAACACAAAAATATGGTAAAAATATAAATTTATCGTTTCTTACGGGATACAAAAATAAAATTGTAAGAAAAAGTATTTTGTGAAGGCACCGCTAAACGGTAGTGAATTAGGCCTGAACGTTATAAGATTTAAAAACCGTATGTATATAAATCCTGTACGCAGATGAAAAATATCTTTAAATTGTCACAGAATGCATTTTAGAATTTTACAGATCATAAGATTTTTGTGACAGGTCAGTTTAAGTAATTTGGAACTTTTTGAAGGACACATATTTTATGAACTAAAATTTTATGCAGGGACCTTTTTCTTAGAAATCAAAATTTTGTGAAAGGTCCATAAACAGACCAAGTTTCTTCCTAAATTAATTCCTGAAAAAGAAAAACATTAAAATTATAAAAACACATAAAAGAAAAAAACTGGGATAACATATAACACAATTGATTCCTTGTTTTAGATTAAAAAAGCATTAATTTTAAAGTAGACAAAAAGGAAAAAGCTAAAGACCTCGAAATCAATTTTAGGCAAATTCTGAACAAGTAATAACAACATATTGCAGTTATAAAGCTCTTGTGCCAACTGCGCTACAGCAATGTCAGAATTGGGCTCCTGATCACTGCTACCGTACAGCATCGTCTTCATCAGGGCAAGATGCTTAGAAACATCTTCTTGGGCCTAAAAACAAAATAGAATATTTAATTTTTAATATTCAAATGTTCAATTTAAAAAAAAAGAAAGGATTATTTATATTCTATTTTGAATACATAAAACAAAATAATACAGCATGCACTTGATTTTAAACCCACAAATACACTTGGTAGCAATCTATACAGCACTGGTCTAAGAAATGAAGAGACTTTGCAGACTGGGTCGAATATCTCTAGAGCTATTGGACTGATTTTAATGAAATTTGATATGTACATACACGACAAAACAAACAATTCTAATACGCATGCATGATTGTGCGTATTACTTGTTGGAGTTGGAGGGTATGAAATTGCCACAGGAAATGATAAACTGCCTTATTTCTTTCAAGTATGAAAACACGCTGCAAGGCTTGTATATCTGTAAGAGGGGTATCCATTTTTTAAAGTTTATTCTGCACCCACTGTTTCAAAACCTTCCGACTCCAATGAGTGTTACACACGATGATGCATGCATATTACCTATGTTGAATGGTTCATTTGTTTTGCATTGTATCAATGTATGTAGATATCAAATTTCATTAAAATCGCTTGAGTAGCTCTAGAGATAATCGACCAAGCCTGCAAATTCTCTTAATCTCTTACAACAGTGTCAGGGGTCTGTCCAGACATTTTGTGAAAGGTCCGTTTTTCGTGAAATTGTGAAAAAATTACTCACATTCTTTCAACCAGGGTCCGCTTTTATGAATTTGTGCAAATAGGGTCCGTTATTGCAAAAAAAAACTTTTTCAAGGAGTTTTTAAATTGTAAAGACATACAAGATTATGCTCAACACTGTAAAGTTATTATTAAAAAAATTAAATTTAAAAAAATAAACAACAATTGCTGTTTCTAAATTAGAGATGCAACATACAAATATTTGGTATTTAGCCTATACTGCTGAACGCAGAATATTCACTTCGGACGAATAATGGAAGAATCGTCTGCCGAAGACAAAACTTATATTCGTTTACATCCATCTTTCTTGTTTTTTGCCCTGGAAAGGGTTTATTCGATTAAGAAAATAATAATGAAGATAAACAAATTTGTGAAGGGTCCGATTAAAAGAAAAATCATTTTGTGAAGGGTCCGTTTTTAAGTTAAAATATTTTGTGAAGGGTCCGTTTTTATGAAAAGATATTTTGTGAAGGGCCCAAATTTCTTCTAAACAGACCCCTGAGTGTATATTTAGTACATTATCAATCAAGAGTAACATTAAGATTTAAGAGTTGCGTTTGTATATTCAATAAAAAGAAATATTACGCCAAAAAATACATTTAATTTTTAATATTCAAACATTTAATTTAAAAAATAGGATAATTTATATTCTTTTTTTAATACATAAAACAAAATAATAAAACTTGATTTTAATCCACAAATACACTTGGAAGTAATTTATACTACATTATGATTCAAGAGTAACGATCTTTAGGCAATTGAGCTCTCTTTTTGTGATAAACAGTACTATATGGCAGAGTTGCCTTCTACAATATCTGACATTCTTGTATTAGTAATTCCTTGTTTTCGGGAGAAATTATGTTGTTTGTATTATTAAGACAAACTCCAGCTCACATACTGGCTTGAGCAAACATAATTTCAAATCTTAATCAGGATAGGATATACTTTCTCTAATTTCTGAATAAATCAAAATAAACATTTTGCGATCAAAAACTGAAGTTTTATGTTTATAGAATCAAAACTGTGGTGTGTCTATCCATTTCTGTACCTTTATTTCTGCTTCATTCAGATTATTTTGCCAGTGTTCTCCCGAAGTGCTTTTAGAAGGGTGCCCCACCCTGCCCTTTTTGCAAAAATAAGCCAATAAAAACACTGCCTATTTATTTTAATTTTTATGGAAAAAAGTTTTCTTCTTAACCACCTGTTTTAATGAAAAATCCACTTCGGATTTATTTAGTTATTGATATTTATTTATCTTTTAATTTGATTCCTTCATTTAAGTAAGATTTTTCTTATGTTGTCTAGTTATATAATTAAAATTTGGATCATATTTGGTCCCACAGATATTCACATATTTTATTTGGGGCAGCGGATATTAATAAATTTATTAGTGATTTTAAATTTTACCATAATTAATAAAATTTAAAATAAAAAATGTTACCATAAATACCTTTTACTTAAAAAAACACACTTTTAAATGTTTATTTTCTCATAATTTTTAACATAAAAAAAGCATTAAAGTTGTTAACAATTTACTTTCTTTGTTTTTGTTCTGTTAAAAATTTCACTTTTTTTCTTGAAGAAAATTTATACAGAGATAGTCTTTTTGCTTGCCCATATATTAGGGTTGGCAAGATTTTGCCGTAGGTGGAAAAAACCACGGTAAAAACCATCCTGGCAAAAAAAGGTTTTTGCCAAGCAAAGTGGCAAAAACCCATATTTTCCACTATGAGAGGACAAAAACACATTTTCGATCCAAAATTATTCCTAAAATTGAAATATATACTATAAATATATATAATTAAAAAAATTATTATTCCATAATTAAATCACAATGTATTAATATATCATTTTAGTAGTTTAAAACATTATAGATCGAAAAATTAGTGATTATTCTCTTTTTTCCAGTGAAATAAACTTATTTTAAATTAATATAACTATTTTTAAATTAATATAACTATAATTTAAAGCATAAAATATCTATCAACATGTGTAGCTAAATAAAACATACAAGTATCAATGCAATTTTTTAAATTTGTGCAAATTCAACACTTTATGCATCATTTTGTAAAAAAACATTTATTCAAGGATTCTAAAATGAAAAGAGGTCAAAAACTTTCAATCTTTTAAAAATCATTACCCTTATATTAATTATTAATATTTTAAAAATACTTTTTTCTCAGGTAATGTATCAAAATTATTATTCCTTATGATTGATTTAAATTTGTTTCAAGTATTTTGTAATAATATTTAATCAGCAATTTAGATAATTAGGTTTTTGCCAATGTCCTGGCAAAAAACCCTTTTTGCCGGTAAAAACTAAACTCCAACCCTGCTATGAATATTTTTTAAAAGCTTCAAATTTTTCTGTTATTTTGATAAAGAGTATGAGAGGGTAATTGAAAAATTCAGGATCAAATTCAGTTATTACATATTATAACATATTTTGATAACCTTTTAATGGTGGTGAGTGCCCTTTTAAAACTCAAAGTGCCCTTTTCTGTGAGGAAGTATCCTGCCTTTTTTTTAAATTTTTATTTATTCCTGAGGAGAACTCTGATTTTGCTTTATTCATAATTTGACATGACAATCATACAATACAGCATATTCCTGATTAAAATTACTTATGCCTGTAATCCAAGTGAAATGCTTTAAGAGTCTTTTTTTTACTTCCCAATGCCTCAAGCACTGTAAGTATTTAATATCCATACACCTACTAACATTGGAGAAATAAAATATAGATTTTACTAACAAAATTTTTTAGGCTATAAGTAAAGTTTTTATACATCATGCATAATCATGTAAGTCAAAAAGAGAAATTCAAAATTGGAAATAATCTATGCACTTAAATTTAGTGAAGTAAAAAATATGTATATAAATCTTAATCTAAAGATTTTTTTAAAAAACATTATTTATAATTAAACTATTTTATTTTATTTTGTAACTGCAATTGAACAGTCAATCCAATTTTTGGTTTTACGATTACTAATGTTCAACTCCGTAGCCTTGTCATTTTCAACCCAATCCAGAAGACAAGGGAACTCAAAGATCAATTATTGGGAGAAATCTACTTTCGTAGAGGACTTTTTGATAAAACTAACTGGCATTTGCATTATATGGAGAGGAAAACCATGAAAACCTCCCACAGTACGAGGGCAAGGGACTCCAACCCATGATCCGTCTACCACTGAGAATATTTTATATCAGCTCTGTGTTTGATGCGAGTCGGATGAGAAATTCATATCGACCAGACATCGCTGGGATTCAAATTCAGTTCAACTCATTGGAAGGCAAACGCTCTATCACCTGAGCCTCCATGACTTCTACTTAAACAATTAACACTCAACATACTGCAGTGCTGGAATAAGAGAAGTACTTTTGCCATCAGCGAATATTTTTTCTCCAAAATTTTTTGAAAAAAATTTCCTCAACAAATACGGAGAAATTAGAGAATATACCAGTAAACAGGAGATAGTCGTAAAATACAGGAGTCTTCGTCAAGAAACAGGAGACTTGGCAGGTATGCATGTACCCACTAAATCTGTGATTTTTAGCGGAAAATTTGACACTCAGAAAATATTTTATTTTCCCAAAGCTATTAAGAAATCAAAATAAAACTTTTGCCATCATTTTTCTCAAAATAACATTTACTCACCCCTCCAAAAACACAACATGCATAATTTCAATGAAGTAAGTGTTAGTTTAATATGACAGATATCAGAATATACAAAAACGAAAAGTATTTACCTTTTCAGCCTTTTTATCTCCTTTTTCCAAAATAACAATAGCTTCTCTTAACACTTTAACTAACTCACTAGGACTTTTTTGAGATTTCCCAAATAATGGCATAATTGCTTTAAAAAGAAAACACAAAATTCATGATTTAGACAAAATGAATTATGAGTACAGTAAACAGATATTCACTGAATGAAAAGCATAGTTTGAGGCACACTGTTCATGCCTTTTGTAAGACCGTTCCATTTCGGGATTATTACACAATATTTTTGAAAATATAAAAAATAACAGATATTTCGATATCCCCAATGGCAGAATTTCTTTCGAGTTTTCTGTGACTATTATCTATAGTATTAATACCTTTCGGAAAGACAATTTTAGTGGTAGCAAATATGTATGTTCCGAATTTAAAGTAACAGAGTCTGTTTACACACAAAAAAAGAAAGAAGCCTGTATAGAATAGATCAGCTTATAATTTTTCAAAAATATAAATGCACTTTTTAATAGATATATGCACTTTTTTATATATAAATGCACTTTTAAATATATATGCATTTTTTTAAAACATAAATGCATATAAATGCATTTTTTTGAAATCTACATATAAAAGAATACTTCTAATATATATTCTCCTGCTCTGAAAAAATATTTGTATACATATATCACGAGCATCTTTTTGAAAGCAATTCTGCAGAAGGTAGGGGGGAGTTCTGAAGAAAAATTTTTTTTTGAATAATTCAGCGGATAAAGAGAAAAAAATTTTTGCTTTTCAAATAAAAAATATTTTTGCAAGAACTCTTATGCTCTGAGATAATGTCGTCGCGCCACCACGATTCTGCTATGAGGTCGATATCTATTTGATACTTTGATATACATTGCAAACCCTATAATTGAAAAATTTACCTTATTGTTGCAAAAAATTTTTTAAGCATGATTTAAATATTAAAACATAAAAAGTTAATTATAAGTATCTTCATAATATAAACTCCTTTATGTATTAAAATTTTTTTAAGCATATTAAGTAATATACAGAAAATATAATGAATTTTTTCGAACCAATATTAAATATATTTTTTGAACTCACAAAAATACAAAATATCAGCTTAATCACAAACGCCCAAAATTTTAATTAAAGTAAACATTTAAATTAACACAAATTTCAGCTTTATTACATATTATTGAAATATTTAAGCACTAAAAAAATTTTTTTTCAGTTGCAACTATGTAAGAGATAAGGGACTAATCTAAAACTAAAAAATGTTTTATTTTGTGTGTAAGATAAACAATAAATTAGAACAAATGCTTTGCCTTTGGAACTTATGTTCTAATATGCCAATATACAAAAAATCTTCAAACACTGATTTTTTGTTGAAGGTGGGATAGGATAAATATTAGCAGGCGCAATCTATAATTGAAATATTAAGGATATTTTGAACTAGTCTTTTAAACTAATTAACTAAAGAAAGACTAAGTTTTTCCGAACTGAAAAATTTTTGTTATGAAAACTTAAAAATTTTCATAAAACTCATTTTTTCATAATTAATAATAATAATAAAATAAATTTATGGTATTCATTTTGAATACATTTTTTTATCTAGTTAAGTATTTCAGCAACAGCCTGTCATGGGCCAGGAGCTTAAGCCTTGAATAGTTTTTCAAATTATTTAATACACCATTCTAAATAAGTTAAGCTAAATAGCTAATAAGAAGCATGAATTTAATGAATTTCTCACAAAATTAAAACAGTTACAGTAAAAGAATTCAGAAAAACCAAATTTATAGATTTATGAAAAAACTGCTAAAGCATCAAAATGAAACTTTATAAATACAATTAAAGTCAGTGTTGCTACTCAAATCTGGAGAGAAAAAAATTCCCTGTACATATTATACAACAATATATTAAGAGGAAANAAAGAAAAAAATATCAAACGTAGTGGAATCAGAAAAACAAAACTGCAATCTGCTTCATAAAATAATCCTATGTTTAAATTAATAAACAATTCTCCTTCTATTTTTTTTTTGTTGTTGATGAAAACATGATATTTAATTACAGCAGATGTGATTCCACATCAATAAAAACTTGCAAATGATACCTACCGCACTTCCAAAGAATAAAAATTTATTCAGAAGAAAAAGATTTTATTTTTATTAATCAATGTCAAATAGATAAATATATTTTTCTCTTTCATCTTCTGTTCACTGATATGGGTCATTCCACATCAAATCATACAGGATTTTACAAAAATGGCACCCACCGTCTCAGATTTTGATGAAAATTTGTACACTTATAGAATTTTTGATGCTGATTTCAAAAATGTCAATTATATTTAAATCAGTTAAGGGGTTTAAAAGTTATAAGCATTTATATTTTTGCCAAAATGGCACATTTGCCGCCATTTTGATTCATACATCAAAGGCTATTAATGATTGTAACTCACCTTATATTTGTCATAGAGCAATAATTTTTTTATTATTTTGTTCAGAATAAAATAATCTGCCATTTAAACACATTTGTTTGCAAATAATTATCTTACTTATTTAGTAAATGGGTCTGTTTTGCAGTTTTTTGATCAACGGAGTTGAGTAACTTCAGGAGCTGATTCCTGACAACTCGCCCCCTTCAATTTCAAAAATATTTTAGGCAAAGATAGTTGAAAGTGCGAACTAACATCTGATATAAAAATTGTGATGGGCGGTTCACTCACTTTTTTTAAAAAAATATTTTTCTTATTAATTATTATGCATTAAAAGTATTGGTAGTTTGATGATTCATAGTCCTTAATTGTAATTGTAACTGGAGTATAATAAATGAGAATGGTAGAAAAAAATGTAAAATAAAGTAATAATTTATTAAATTATTTTTTTCTTGTTTATTTGAGCCCCCCCCCTTCAAAAAAGAAAAGAAAAAAATTTGAGAATGAACAAAATTTCACCTTTTCTGCAAATGAAATTATCAAGAATCATATAGCTTTGATAAATGAGAGTGATCAGAATCTAAATAAAGATAAATAAAAGTTTCTCTAAAAGAGTAGAGGGCAATACCAAATAATAAAAAGCAGCCATTAAATTTTATTTTTAATTGAACTAACTACGATCTTAATGAAAGGAGAAAATCAGAATTTATGATGTTGAATAATATCAGAGAGAAAATCATTGTACACTTTATTTTAATTCAAACATTTTGTTTGATTCTAAAATGTAATTCAAGACCAAATTATGAATATTTACAGTTAATTTTATCCTTTTATTTGTCACAATCAGGGTTGGCAAGGTTTAGGACAGAATGGATTAATCCACGGTTTAAACTGTCCTGTCCAAAATCCCTTTGTCCAAAACCCTTTTACTCAAATTATGTCACAATTTTATCTGAACAATATTTAGAAGGTAAAATAAACATAGAACTAGTAACATATTGATAATTAAATCTACTAGGGAATATTTGTCTTTAAAAATATAATGTTTCATTAATATTGTTTGACTCTTCAATTTAAACAATAAACAAAAGAAGATTAATCAGTAATCAAGTTCAATTGGTCCTCTCCTTCAATAGTACATAACTGAAGTTTGACCTTTGCCATACATGTTAAGCTATTAGGGACTAAGTGCTTGGTTACTCATAAACAGGTTTACTTATCTATTAGTACTATTCAAGAATACTTTTATTTCATTCATGCTCGATTCTTTTAGCATAGTGGTGATACATCACCAATGTCACTAACTGAAACTGATGTTATGCCCTTCAAACCTGTTAATACATTTTGCAGTTATTTTGTACTTCCAATTTAAACTAATATATTCATATTTAAAAAAAAAAATTTCAAAATAGATGTCTTTTTTATCATTCTGTGATGCAGAAATTATAAAAAAATTTTAAAAAAATATTGTAAAAAATAAAAGGTTAATTTTTAAACAAATTTAGTATTTTTTAAAAAAGTTATTATTATTTGATATTGCATTATTTATCTTTATGCAAAAACATTATCAGTATTAAAAGCATATTTATATTTAAAGGGTTAGGTATTGACTTTTGTTGTTCAATGAATTGTGGAGCTTCAAAAATTATAAACCTTTTCCTATTATATTATTTTCCTTTAATAAGTTAAAGTAAATTGTATAAAAAATATCAAATATTTATTGATACATGTAATTATAATGTGTACAATGGTTACACCAATAGATTTTTTACCGTTTACCAAAGTTCAAGGTTTTGAACACTTTAAGACAGTTTTATCCATTTTAGGACAACAGTAAAACCCACGTGTCCTGTCCAAAACCAGTTTAGGACGTCCAAAATCCCAACTCTGGTCACAATGATTGTTATGGTAATGAGATACTCCTAAAAAATTTCATTTAAAACGCTGATAAAGCTCAAAATATTTATTTTAATTATATTGAAATGATTTTAAATCACCAACTATCTGATAATTTGTATGCTCTTATTTCATCANGACTCATCTCATATAGCCTCAAACTTCCAGTAAATATTAAAATTCTATTTTGAATAGTTTTTTCACAAAATAGATGTTTGTATTTTTTGATCAGGAATTACCCCAGGTCACCCTATTTTCCAGGTTTTTCCTATTCTCCTTGTGGAGTGGCAACATTGTAAATGCTAGTTTGAGCTCATTGTAAATATTTAGCCATCACAAAATTGGAAAAAAATCCAAATAGTTTTAAGGACATTAGCAGGAAAAGCTTAAGATTAAAGTACAGAATGTGTTTAGAACATATTGGTCTTTACTTTAAGTATATTTAATAAAAAGGGAAGATTTCTAAATCATGATCTGTGGCAGAATAATCACCAAGCCATCGGGACTTTTGGGCAACAGCCCGCTAGAAATTAAAAAACAATTAACACAAAAAATCACAGAAGGGAACTACTTGAAGGGAATAACTTGAAGCAACACTTTGATAAACCTCTACATATTTTTTCTTTAAAAAAAAAAACATTCAAATTTAAAATCCATTTGGTAGATTTCCCTATCGTGATCTGTAGTAGAATTATTGCCAAGGCTTGGAAACTTCCGGGCAGTGGCCAGCGAAAAACTAAAAAAAAAAATCACAGACAGGGACCAACTAAAAAAGTATAACTTGTAGCCACCCCTTGGCAAACACTCCGGGGATTTTTTTAAAAAAATTTATAAGTTTAAAATCTATTTGGCACTTTGGCGATTGTAGTTGGCGCGACAGATCAGGTTACGGAAATATCCCCTTGGCAGTTGCAGTTGGCACAATAGATCCTATCCTGATACAGAATTATTTCTAATAAAAGGATGAAGGAAAAGATTTATAACAATGCATAGATGCAATTTACAGGATTGATGCATATTTTTGACACATGAATTTTGTCGTGAAAATATAATCCATAGTTTTTTTCCATTAAAAAATGACACATTAAAAACTTTCCAACTTTAAACTATACAAAATACTAAAAAAAAAAAAAAAATAGTAATGCTATCTTCAATTTTAAACAAAAATCAGCAACCATTAGGACAAATTAACACTAAAAAAATAGAAGAAAATCTGAAACAATATCTTATTTTACCAGGTAAGATCTCTTTTGTTATACCATTGTTAAACTTTCCTTTGAGAGAAAAAACCATTATTTACTGTTTTATCCCTACCTAAAATAATTGTACAACATTTTGGGCTACATAATTTTCCTAACTCTTAATATCTAGCAGAAAAATCATTCAAAACACTATATATGTCTAAATAATATTACCATATTTTGCAATATATTTGTTTTATTCATAACTAAATTAAAGAGAGAATGACTAACTGATAGATACACAAATAATAACTATTTAAAGAAGTGAGATCCTCAGCTATTTTCTAGCTAAAAATCACCTACGAAATTATGAAATAAAATTGTATGTTTATCATACGCGCATTTCCAAAAGTAATACCGTTCTCCACATAATGAAATCACGTGTGAATATTTTAACATTTCTTGCATTAAAAGTAAGTAGTTCACAAATTAATAATGCCTTAATATAATATTTCTTTCAAAAAATTTAAATTTGAACTTCATATTTCATAAGGAATTAGTGGAGCTCAATTACTATCCTACGTGCTTAGCTGTCTTAAGGGTTCTTCAACTTTACTAAAATGAGATCTTGCAAAAGCGCATTTCAATTAAACATAAACACAAATGATTTTACACATAAAACAAACAATAAAAACGCTTACAAATATAAATGATAGAACAGAAGAACAGTATGGTAATATCGTACACTTTTCACAGTATGAATTTCTTTCACATAAAAGATTTAATTTGTCTAATATAAATCAAAACATACCCAAATAAATAACTTTCAGAAGCTTAAAATTTCAAATACTCAAATCAATTAAAGCTAACAGATTAATAACAATAACAACAAAAGGCGATTAGAAATTTACTAAGGATTTCTAAAAGTTATCATGTTGCCAATATAATTTTGGTAGATAAAAAATGTTATACAAACAAAACAAACCTTGAACACTAGATAATAGGAATCCGCAAGAAGTCAAAATCCCATCTGCCCGATGGCAATGAAAACCCAATAGTTGTTTGGGTATGGATGGTGTTTTCTACGCTAGGTAGCGCTGCAAGCTCTATACCGCCTATTCTTCCGGGTTACTGTTTCCGGTGTATTTTAAGGCCATTTGGCTCGCAACGTGATCAAGGCTGTAAGCATGCGGTTTGGGAGGTCATGAAAACGTGAAATCTATATCAGAAAAAGAATTATTATGAAGCAATTATTACCTTGTTACGGATATACAATCTTCAAAACTAACGTATGGCTAAACAGTGATTTACAATACCGCATGCAATAACTAATAAAGGTGTCGCTATATAATAAGAAAAAAACAAATGAAAAAGCAATACTCTCATATCATTTCTTAATGCTAAAATTATAAAGGGTATATAATTTTAACATTAATTACGAAATAGTAGTGGTAACATGTGGTTCGATCAATAATAAATATGTAACCCTAACATTTGAAAAAAGAATCGTAATAAAACATTTTTACCTTTGTCAATAATATACGCTAACTTTCACATTTAAACCTTAATTATAATGTATAAACTTAATCTTGCTCCTCGAACAATGTGCTAACACTAACGTAAGATGGTTCAGTGCTTGCAACGAGAAAAAACAGTAATAAACAAATGGAAAGAGGCCAAATCAGGACAGCCGAAAAAGCAAGTTAATCAAAATCTAGCAATATCACCTTTTTTAACAATATATATCTATAAATAACTAAAACAAATTTTCACTTCAAACTCACCAGAATTACTTAATAACATTAATGTATTATGAAATACGGCAGATTTGAGCTCAGAAATTATCTAATTTACTTCAATTTATTGAAAACAAAATTATCCGTTTGAAAATATCATCTCGCAGAATAGACTGTAGTAAGCAGTTGCAAACTTTCTAACTGGAACTAGGACACGTATTGAGCTCGAGATTGTTATTGTTAAATTTATATTGAAAACACCATCCATTATTAGCGTAAAAATAATATATTTTATTATATTTTCCAATAACAGTTAATATTTCACAATAATACTTAAAGTATAATTATTCTGAAATAAAATATAATAAAATATGTACCGCAGTGGTCATCTGAAATCTGAAGTGGTGAACAAATTATAGGTGACAAACTGTCAGGTTACACCTGGCCAACACATTCAGTTGGTCCTGGAGATTTCTTCAGTGTTGTAAGATTACGTCTCTTCTCTATTGTGGAATTAAATTTGAAAAAAAAATATTGATATTTCTTCTTATTCAGGTAACAATATATATCTCGAAATCTCGTTTATAATCTCGTTTTTTTTTTCACAGGAATATCTAAAACACATTGAAAGTTTATTTGTAAATACTGAAAAAGAAAAAAAAAAGACCAAAAAGAAAAGCAACACGTATCTATATTCTTATAAGAGAGAAATCTTAATTTTTGAGAGATTGTTCTATTAGTGAGGGGCTGCTGGGGTATTCTGTCCCACTCCTCCCGAAGAAGTCTTTCCGGTTCTTGGAGAGTTTGCGGGGGTGGTAGACGTCTTGTAATTCATCTACCTAGAATGTCCCAAGCATGCTCGATTCTGTTCATGTCCGGAGAACACGCTGGCCAATCCATTCGTGTGATTCCTTCCTCCAAAAGGTAATCATTCATCGAGTTAGCACGATGTGGCCAGCAATTGTCGCCCGTTAACATGAAGTAATCTCCAATTGCTGCAAGGTAAGGGACTACAATAGGTCTCAAGATCTCATCCCTAAATTGGCAACCGGCCGGAGCTCCATTTCGAATGAGATGGAGATCGGTGCGCCCATCAACGGAGATGCTAGCATAGACTATCACTCCCCCACCTCCAAATCTGCACGAACGCAGGATTGTTTCCAGTGCCACGTTCCCTCCAGATGAAAACACGCCTGTTGTCAGTATGAACAGAAAAATGGGACTCGTCAGAGAAAAGAATATTGCTCCATCCATTTCTTTTCCAGTTCGCATGTTCTGTTTCCCACTCCCTGCTGGTGAGGAGGTGTCTTGCTGTGAGCGTAATGCACCCCATTGGTTCTGTGTCTTTGAGCCATTGGCTTTAAATAGTGGTCTTTATTGGACGTTGTTGCAGGTCTACGCCCTTGCCCTGATCTTAGCTCTTTCATGTTCAGCTCTAAAAAACGGTTCCAAATCCAGGAAATCACACTTTGTGAAATTACAACGGCTCCAGCTACTTCAGCTTGTGCTTGGCCCCCCTCTAACCGGCCATCAGTAAACTTTAAGTTTTAAAATTTTAAGTTTGTCGAAGACGGCCGTCTTCGACAAACTTAAAATTTTCATACTGCGAAGTTTGAAAATAAGAAAAATTTGCATTTGTGATTATCTTCTTCCATTTTATACAAGCAAAAAACGTGTTTAGACTGGTATTTTATACAGACAAGACTTACAATATCCTTTAATTGTTTCGAGCAGTGTGTATACAGCGTATGAGCAACAATTTCTCCATTTTAAAGCTGTTATACGCACTTAAATATAGATATACATACACGTTGTGGACTATATAAATTGCTTATAATTATTTCCCTTGATATGGTATACTATATTATAATATAATATCTTACGGAGTTTGAAAATTATTGGGTAATATTAAGGAGAGCTACAGAAACTGCTTAGAAATTTCTTCGAAACTTTTTAAATTAAGATTTTCAAATCAATTTTTTTAATTAATTGCCAAAACATGATTTACTACAAAATTATGAAGAAACAAAACTTTTTAAAAAATTTTCAGTGCATGCGTAGAATTAAAGAACTAGCTTAAACACTCATAACTTGCGTAGTTTTCAGCGATTTTTTTTAAAATTAACAATTTTGTAGTTAATCTTATATTGTTCCAAAAATTTCGTTTAATTCCATTGAATATCTTTAAAGTTATAACGAAAACGCGTAAGGCGAAAAAAATAATTTTTAATAAAAATGCCCATATTTCCATAAATATTTGCTCTACGTTTACGAAACTTAATGCAGTTATTAAAAATAATATCTAAAGTAATCGATACAAGTTGTTTGCTTGATTTTCTGGCATAAGAAGTTCGAAAATACTTGTTTTCTTTCGTAATTTATTGTGGGTCTTCCAAATCACGAAAAGCTTTAAATCTTATTTTATTTTATAACCGTCGTTGAACAGCCGACCCAATTTCATGGGTTTACGACTACTTACGTTCAACTCCGTAGCCTTGTAATTTTGAACCAATCCAGAAGACAAGGAAACTCCTGGATCAGTACCCCCAGAGGTATTGATTTGTTGTGGGAACATGGAGGACTTTGAGACTCGACAGATTTAACGTGCATCAGTCACCATTTACTACACGGGGAGTCTTCGGCCGGCGAGGATCGAACCCACGACCTCTTGGATATGGGTCCAGCGCCCTACCGACCAGGCTATCCCAGCCCTTTAAATCTTATTGTAAAAAATGAAAAATCACATAAACTAATTTTCTCTTCCTGCCCTTCAGATGCCTGTATGACGTACATGCATACTTACATCTTATGCCACATTGTTTGTTCCCAACTTTGTCTACAATTATTTCCTTTGGTATGTTAGTATATGCTGTAATGTAAAACCAGACAGAGTTTCAAAATTATAGATTAATATGAAGGCCATATATATATAGCATACTAAATAAATACAAAAAGGACAAAAAGAAAATTAAGAAAAACAACAAGTTTTATTTACTGCGCTTAAGCTTTAAGTAAATAGAACTCATAAAATAAGTTTAAAATGCAGAAAAAGCATGGAAAAAATTACAGAACAATGAGAAAAAAAGGGGGGGGGGATAATAAGAAAACGGAAGGAAAAAAAACAATTCGTGAAAAAGGAAAAAATTTTTAAAATCCGGAAAATAAAAGATATAATCTTTTCATCAGCTCACATGATTATTTCCGTAAAAAAGATTGCTTTTTAATATTGTATCAATATAGCCAAAGCAAAATATATCAATACAATAGTGTGAGNAAAGGGGGGGGGGATAATAAGAAAACGGAAGGAAAAAAAACAATTCGTGAAAAAGGAAAAAATTTTTAAAATCCGGAAAATAAAAGATATAATCTTTTCATCAGCTCACATGATTATTTCCGTAAAAAAGATTGCTTTTTAATATTGTATCAATATAGCCAAAGCAAAATATATCAATACAATAGTGTGAGGATTTACGTCTGTTATGTTCAACTCTGTAGCCTTGTAATTTTGAACCAATCCCAGAAGACAAAGATAACTCCTGGATCAGTACTCCCAGAGGTATTGATTTGTTATGGGAACATGGAGGAGGACTTTGCGACTCGACAGATTTAACGTGCATCAGTCACCATTTACTACACGGGGAGTCTTCGGCCGGTGGGGATCGAACCCCCCGATCTCTTCGACATGGGCCCAGCGCCCTACCGACCAAACAAACAAGTTCGGCAAAATTTTTTAATTTTTTTTTAACGTCGAAAAAATTGGATTTATTTGATTTAAATGGAATTTTTTTATATTTATAAACTAAAGCATCAAAATAAAATTAGTTAATAATACATATTATTTTTAAAAAAATTATAGCCAAAACATTTAATATTTTTTACTACTAATTGTAAATAACTATTTAATTACTAAAAACTATTCCCTGTATGAATAAATTCGCAGTTTATTTTAAAGCATAACTTAAAAATAAATTTTTAAGATTTCGAGAAAATTTGTCAATTAAATAGCCTATGGAGAGTAAATTAGTTTCGACCAGAAAACATTACAGGGAGAAAAAAAAAAAAGTTACTCTGGGGAGAATAAGTCTTTTCTTTATTATTAATATACATTAACTACACATTTAATAATAATTAAAAAAAATGCACTTGTTTCAGATAAAAGTAAAATTAAATTAATATAATTGAAATATGTTTACTACCACTATCTT